CAATATTTCCAATATTGGAAATATTCCAAATATTCCATCTGATATACAGATTTAGTACAATTCTTATCAAAATGTCAGCAAGAAATCTTGTAAATACAGAGATTGTTCTAAACATCCATATATAAAGACAAAGGAACTAGAGTAGCTGCAGCATTTTTATAAAAGAAGAATAAAATAATGGAATTAATCTTCCTGATATCAAGATAGATTGCAGACTTAAATGTAAAATGCAAACCTATAAATGTTTTAGCAAAATTAAACAGAAAAATATTTTCAGGGCCTAGAGCTAACCATAGATTTCACACCATCATCATAATACACAAAAGGAAAAATTGGTAAATTTGACTTCATCAAAAATAAGAACTTGGAGCTGGGGATTTAGCTCAGTGGTTCTAGCGCCTGCCTCGCAAGCGTAATGTCCTGAGTTCAATCCTTGGTACCAAAAAAGAAAAAAAGAACTTTACGGTGCAGAGTATGTAAGATAAAATGACAGGCTATAAACTGAGAGAAAATATCCACAAACTATATATCCTACAAGGCTAGCATCTCAAATATAAAGAATTCTCAGAATTCAATGGTGAAAAAAAGGCTGTATAATTCAAAAATGGGCAAAAGATATGAAGAAACATTTCAACATAAAAGATATACAGTTTGCAAATGAGGACATAAAAAGATGTTCAACTTAATGATATTCCACATCATGAGTCATTGGGGGAATGCAAATTAAAATCACAATGAGATAGCACTGCATACCTATCAGAATGATTAAAATAACACTGACATCTCAGCAGTGAGGGTAGAGATAAACAAGATCACTCACAAATCTCCAGTGGGACCACAAAATGATACATCCACTCTGGAAAACAGTGTGGCAATTTTAAAAACAAATTTAATATACAACCAACACACACCCACTCCTGGGGACTCCTGAGCATTTATCCCAGGGAAATGAAGACTTGCATTCACACAAACAGCTGTACATAAAAGTTCACAGCATTTTATTGACAATAGCTTCAAACTGGGAACTCCCAATTGTACTTCAATAAAGTGAATGATTAACCAAACAAAAGTAAATCCATATTATACAATACTAATTTGCAATAAAAAGAGGAAAACCCCAAACTATTGATATACAAGATATGGTTGAAAATACGGTGAATGTTTAAATTTTAAAAATTTCTTACAGTAAAAGATACATTGCCTCTTCAAGTCTTTACAAAGTGCAATAAAAAATATAGTGAATGCTGCTGCCAGGTTCCATCCAACAGAAAGGTAAGCTCAGAAAAGCATTATGGTGTGTCCTTTTTCACTGGATCTTGAGCTGTGCAACTTCTGGCTCTTCCCCAAAGTCAAAATGACCATGAAAGCCTAACATTTTAAATCAGTTAAGGACTGATACAACAAAAGACACTGATGAAAGAGGACTTCTAGATCTACTCAAGAAAGTGACAAAAACATTGGCATGAGTGTGTTCAAAGAGAAGGAGAATATTTTGAGGAGGATTAATGGCAAATATGTCTTTCACTGTAGTAATTTTTTAAAAAAAGATTTAAACATTCACTGCATTTTTAAAAATCACACCTTGTACATACCACAGTGTGAATTAATTTCCAGAGAATAATGCTGGATGAATGAAGCCAATGCCAAAAGGTTAGATGCCCTAAAAGATTCCATTTATAGTACATTCTTGAAATGACTAAATTATAGAAATGGAGACTACAAGTGGTTGCCAGAATTGAGGAGATGTGGGTGGGAAGGTGACAGCAGAAGAAACCCTGTGGGGCATTTGGTGTCTTAACCACAGCAGTGTCAGTATCCTGGTATGATGTATTCTAGTGTGCAAGATGCTAACACTCGCAGAATCTGGGTGAAGGGCATGCAGAATATCTGTATTATTCCTTATAAATGCATGTGAATTATAAGTATCTCAAAATGAAAAATTTAATTAAAAGATTAAGGCGGTAAGCCTTCACTTTTGGAGACATGAGTGCACACAGTATATTCCAGGAGTGAAAAGCTGTGGATGTACTGTGTGCTAGGTGACCCCAGCTCGAGAGCACAAAGATCTAGGTCTCAAAGTGTTGTTACTTCCTGTGCAGCCCAGACTGCCCTGCTCACGTCCCATCTGTAATCTCACTGCCAGCAAATTCACCATTTCATGCTTTAAGCCACTTTTGCTTGCTTTATTAATTTTTAAAAAGCATAATTGACTCCATGATTTCAAGAGCTTTTTTTTTGAAGCAGAAGAAGATGCCACTATTCATCAGCCAAGTAAGGAAATCTTGAGACTTCTTAACTCTGACCTTCCAGGGACAGAGAGCGTTTCGTACTGCACCATGTGCCCTCACCAGGTGGGTTACAGTTTGATACCCTCCTTTAGATGTGTGTCACTCATTGCCCACTCTGCTGCTGGAAAAGCAGGGAATTTTGCTCTTTGTATCTCTAGTCCAACTGCGCCATATTTTTCCCAGCCCAAGAGAAGCAGAACAAAACTTTTGTTCATTGGTTGGTAGGAATTGGCAAGGCATATTATTTTTGATGATGAAACACGGAGTCCTGCTTCCTTTTCAGTTCAAAGTAGGTTTGCTTCTGAAGCTCAGTAGTTAGAAGTGTTTCGGAGTCAATGTTATAGTAGTTCTCATTTCCAGTTGTCATGGATGTAAGTAAGCCTCACTGAATGTTTTCCCCAAAAAGAAGGTTTTTTGAGTTTTTAAAAGATCTAATGTATCTGCTCTGTTTAGGTTTCTAACTGAATTCTTTGCTTCAACAAATGAGAAATAAGTTCCAAAGAGGTCAAGTTTCCCAAAACGGTCAGAAATGGGATCCCCAGGCCCTAGATACTGTATTTATATTGTTTGTTTTTTGGTACCAGGGATCAAACTCAGGACCTTGAGCTTGTGAGGCAGGTGCTGGAACCACTGAGCTAAATCCCCGACCCTGTATTCATATTGTTTTACATCATGTCACCACAATGAACTGGAAGACACACTTTAAAGACAATGCTATTTCCCTAACCTTATGATTCTTTAATCACTGGAGATGTATCTTATAACTGCCTTGAAAGTTATCAGAAAAGTAATTTGTTTACCTTCTGTGATAGCTGATTTTAGCTATCAACTTGACTAGATTAAGGAGTACTAGGAATCTGAGGAAACATTTTGGGTGTATCTAGGAGGGCACTTCTAGAGGAAGTTAACAGGTGAGTTTGGGTGGATTTGGTGGGAAAGATCTATCAATGGTGGGCAACATCCAATCAGATAGGGGAACCAAAGTAAACAAATACAAAAGGTGAACTGACCTCCCCCTCTCCCCATCCCAAGGGCTGGGACACACTTGTCTCCTGCTATGTACATCAGAATTCCAGGCTCTCTTACCTTAGGACTTCAGGGCTCACATCAGATACTAGCAGCCTTATCTCTGAGCTCTTAGGCTTTTGGACCCAAACTGAGAAGCATTCCAGGGTGTCCAGTTTGTAGTCAACTTCTCACAGAACCATAATAGTGTGAATCAATTTCCCAGGAAATCTCCTCTCACGTATTTGTGTACCTATCTGTTACAGTTTACATCTAAAATGTCCCCTGACAGTCTCACAGGTTCAGAGGTGGGGCATTGGAAAGTGAATGGATCATTGGGGCTATAGATACATTCATCAGTGGATTAGTCAATTGATAAGCTTATACCTGAACACGTTAGGTGCAGGAGCCTGGTCTGAGGGGGTGGCTCATTGGGAGCATGACCCAGAAGGATGTATTCTTGTCCCTGGCTCCTCCTCTCCCTCTCTGCTTCCTGGTCACCTGAGCAGCCAGATGACCATGGACTAAAATCTCTAAAACTGTGAGCCAAAATAAACTTCTCCTTTAAATTTCAAGTGTTGGGTATTTTGTCCTAACAATGGGAAAGTGACATAATATCCTGTTGATTTTGTCTTCTGGAGAAATCTGACTAATACAACATTTACAATACTTCCCACAAATGTATATTTACTTCTAAAAATATTATTCTGTAATTTAACTTAAAACTCTTTATATTTTTATGTCTCAAAACATGCGTAATTAAGAGCTGATATAAAATGCAATCCATAGAATTTGTTATCATAAGAAAGGATGTAAAGACCTCTCTAGAAATCTTCAGAAATAATGTCAAAATTTTAAAAATCATTTCTATTTTTACTAGTTGTTTTTCAGTATTCTATGATGGGGTGTTGACAGAGAACAGATGAATTTGGAGAAGTACCAGGAAGCAAATAACATTTATAAAGAGACTTTTTCCATTCTTCCACAAGTGAGTTTTCCTGGTCAGAAGTTAATCTCCATTCAAGATGATAGTAGGGTCCCAAGAAAAGGGATTTAGCTCAGTGGCACCGCACCTGCCATGCCATCACAAGATCCTGATAGCGGGGGTGGGGGGGTGGATCCTCTTAAAAGAGGCCTAAGGTCATTGAGGGCATGCTCTCCAAGCGGATTGCAGGATTGGGTCTCTCTCTCTCCCTCCCCTCATCTTTGCCATAAGGTGGATTTGTTACATGACTCACTCCCAGAACCATGATGCACTGCCTCCACACAGGCTCAAAGCAACAAGGTCAGGTGGTCATGGACTGAAGCGTCTCATACTGTAAGTCAACATAAACCCTTTCTCTTTGTAAGTTATCTCAGGTATTTGTTACAGTAATAGAGAGCTAACACAGGGGATTCGGATGTCAACACATGAATTTTAAAGGAAAATATACATTCAGACCATCACAGAAAGTAATGCTAAAATGTCTTAAAATTATGTTTAAAGGCTAACATTATAAAATATGAATTATAAACAAGTTGTAATATATGCTAACTTTTTTGTTTGTTTGTTTTTTGTGGTACTGGGGATCAAACTTAGGACCTTGAGCTTGCCAGGCAGGTGCAGTACCACTGAGCTACATCCCTGGCCAAGCTAGCTTGTATTTTAAATGAATGAAAAATTTGAAACTTTTAAAATCCATAAACATAAGAATCAATAAATATTTGTTGAATTCCAAATTTATTAAATACTATCAGCAATTTACTGGCCTCTAATTTTACATACAACTTGAATTATAATGTGCCCCTAAAGGTTCAAAGTGTCAGATAATCAACCTTCAAATTTCTTATGGACTGAATTTAATTAGAAATTTAGGAAAAGCAGTAGGAACAGAAACTGGAATCTGGGGCAAAGAATTTCAAGAAGAGCAAGTCCAAGCCAAGAGTCAGCTGTAGCCAGCAAGGCAAAGTAAGTCTAAAAGCAGGGCAGGCCCATACCTAAATAAGAGTAAATAGCACACATGTGTAATCCCAGTATACAGGAGGCTGAGGCAGGAGGATCACCATGAGTTTAAGGATCACATGGGTTATATAAAGAATTAAATCCAGCCTGAACTACATAGCAAGACCCTGTCTCAAAACAAACAAACAAACAAACAGCAAACATAAAAGCTAAATAAGAGTGACGTCAAAGAGTAAGCATCCAAAACAAGGATTAAAATCAGAATGAAGGGCCAGCGATTTAGCTCAGTGGTTTCACCGCCTGCTGCGCAAGCGAAAGGACCTGAGTTCGATCTCTGGTACCAAAAAAAAAAAAATTAGAATGAATGGCAAGAAAGGAAATATATTTACGTCACTAACATCTATTGACTGATGGGCACTTGTACATTGAACTGTTTTTTCACGTCTCACAGCAGCACAGCAGAGTGGGTGTTGTTTTTCTATGCAGATAAAGAAACAGATTCTTGGGGGAATGAGCTGCAAGGGAAGAGCAAGCATGAGGGTTGAGATTCAAACCCAAATCTACTGGCTGTAAGATCCATGGCCCTCTACACACCTTTTCTAAGGCTCATAACCTCAGGCTGATGACATTGAGCAAAGACTTCTAAGTACTCCCTGTAATAAAAACCATATGAATTCAATGTCTCTTTGATTTATTGCTCTCTAGTTCACATCTGTTATACATCAGTAACACCATTTTGGGGATCTTGGTATTTACAAGTTCTTTTCTGAGACCTCAAAGGCAGGCACATCTATTTTTCCATCCTCAACCCTTTTGTTCCTCTCTCCCATTTAGTCAGGGTGTCCCCCTTTAACAGGAATGCCAATCAATCCCTTATTAGTACCTAGCACAATCCACTTCCCTCAGGGATGTACGACACATGTTTTATGGAGCTTACACAGATGCCAACAAGGAAGCTATGAAAAAATGTAATTATTATTCAAATGGTGTTTCATTCTGAAGAATCTCATGCATCAACACGGAACAAGCCATCACCTTCACTGTCCACTTTCTTCTTTTTAATGTTGATTTTAGTTAAACCAATAGCCTCTTATATATATATATATATATTTTTTTTTTTAAAGATCCAACAGGAATCTTACCCATTCAGAATGAAGGCCAAAAACTGATCCCTGATTCACCTTTGCATTCACTGTGTGTTCAAAATGTTTGCTGTCTTGGGAAAAAGCACAAACATGCATTCCATAGTTAGACTGAAGGAAAAGGAGAAGGCTGCTTGAACCCAAACCACAGAATAATATAAACAAGTAGAGGTCTAGCTTACCATTTCCAGTGCAGTCCAGAATTTGGGAGCAGCTTAGCTGGGTAGTCCTGACTCAGGGCATGTCCTGAGGCTCCAGTCTAGAAGTTAGCTGAGCCTGTGGACATCTGAGTGCTGCTGGAGCTGGGTAGTCCAGTTCTGACAGGGCCTTTGTAGCTATGGCAAGAGGCCTCAGTTGCTCACTTCTCCTCTTGGCTGGCTGCTGGGGTGTCCTCACGCTATGTCAGCTGGCTTCTCTCATAGTAAGTGATCCAAAAGAAGGGACCAGGGTTCTAAGAATGCTATTAAATATTAAAATTATTGGAAATTTCCATATTTATATTTCTGTATATATTTCCTGATTCAAGCTGAATATTAGTAATACTTCTCATATGAAAGTTTATCATTATTCTTTATAGTAGGATGACATCATCATTTCTAAACATTATAGAGACCCTTCCACCTGAGAAAAAGCCAAATGGCAGAACACAGGCCTTTTTAACTTTCTGGTTGGAGTTTGTGCAAACAGGATGTTTGGAAATGAAGATTCATGTTATGATAAAATATCCTGAGGGAATGGGGCCCCCAGAAAATGGATCTGGTCAAGGAGAGAAAGGGAGAGAAGAGAAGCTACGGAATCTATTTCTAAAAGAAATGAGGAGTCAAGAGCCTAGAAAGGTCTAGCAATCTGGGATGCTTTTCTCCATTTCTATCTTTATCTTCCTATGTTCTCTACTATATCTATTTTCCGTAATATAATCAGTCCCCCATTTCTAAGCTGTCTCTGTCATAGTCTTATAATACAGTAATTCTAGGTCTAAAATGGCTAGAGAAAAGTAGAAATGACTGGCAAACATGAAAATGTGCTTAAATGCTCTATTTAACATAGTTTGGAACACAGAGAAAAGCAAAAAAAAAAAAAGATACTAGGAAGAACTTCAAAGAGTGGAGTGATGTGCTTTGAATGTCTTTTGAATAAGGGCACATTTTTCCATTTCAAATTTTAATCAGTCCATACTTATCTAGGTATAGAACAGACATACATAATTCAGAATTCAAATAATTCATATCCTGAAATCACAACATAACAGAGCCAATGGTGTTCTGGTATTTAAGCATATCAAGGAATACCAGACTGCCAGAACACCAACTGGCATTGCATTACTTTAAAAGAATAGCAAGGTCACGGGGAATTGAGAACGTGCTTGTTCAGCTGGTCTTAGACAGAAGTAGGAGAAGGATTTCCCAAAAATGGAATATGTGGCAGGAATGGAATATGGAAACAGGCTGAGTCCCTAATATCATCTGAGTAACTGGGCAGAAAGAAGACATGACATCTTTGATACTCACTTTCTTCCAAGTATGTTTCTCACAATTTAAACAGACCTCTTCATCTCTTCATCTGCTAGCTCACCCTCATTTTCAGTAAAGATCCTGACTTCCTTGTTGGAAAGACTGGCACTCAGGGGTCTGTGTGCCCTTCACTTGTAATGGAATTGCATCCCCTTTCTGGGTCCACTCTAGCCTTCTATATCACCTGGGCCAGAATTTTGCTAAAAAGACTGTAGGCCCAACTTTTCACCCAATACTTTCCCTGCAGTATATAGTTCAATCTCCACTTGTTACTTAAATTCAATAATTTCTTAGTAAGACTTATCTTTCCAAAGTCTTCCAAAGGTCATCAAGATACAGTTGATGATCTTCTCTCAAGTGCTTAGGACTGGTTTACATCTCTCATTTTACCTCTCTGCCCCCACCCCCATAATGCCCTCTCTGACCCATCTAGCCCAATTTTTTCTCTATTCCTCATAAATGCCAAGTTCACGTTATTCTTCCTGTTTCAAATACTTTCCCTCTTTCTTTCAACTAAGGGAAACTAGCCAGTCTTGAAAGTTCTAATACTTCTAGCTGAATTCTTCTTCTACCCCAATATCCATTTTTTCTTTTATCAAATAATACATTTTTGTCTTGATTATTTCATATTTTGTCATGTATTGTTTTGTTCATAATGCCTCATCTCCCCCAAACATTGTGACATCTTTGTGAATACAGCCCATATCATATATATATATATATATATATATCATATATAGTCTTTCTTTTGTATACTTAAAAAAATAGGTAATTTGTTGTATACCCTTTAACAAACAGCACAGTAATCGAGATTAGAGTGGAGCTTAGTGAGTGTGGATTTACTAGTTCTGAGGGAGATGAGTGGGGAGAGCATATCAAGAGGAGTTACAGTCACCTGAATGTAAGCAAACTCACTAGTATGTAGTGATAGGATCAAACTCTCAAGATCGAAGAAATTCTGATTTCTATCAGATTTCAAGTAACTCACATGTTCATTTAGCAAAGGTTATATAACCAGAGCTGAACCCACAAGACACATTTATATCTCCCAGTGGAATTGAAGTCATTCTTCTCTGAGCTAAGAGATCACAGTCTGAGTGAACTATCACAGCACAATATATTAAGTCTGATTCCTTCTTTATATAGAAAGCTATTTGTCTTCCACTTTGCTATGTTAAGCAAGGTATATAGCAAAAATTTTCCACTGAGTGACATGTGAATTTTCCGTATTATAATGGAACATTCAATATTCTGGCACAGAACATAGAACACATGATGGTATAGTGGAAAATTAACAGAATCTGTGGTTCTAGTTTGGCTATTTACTTGCAACAGAATCTTGGATAGATTATTTTAGTCTCTTAGTTTCACTTTCTTTATTTATAACATGGTGATGACTTACATTGCAGTGGCATTTTTAAGGATATGAGATACCACATATGAAAACCATCTTATAAATTTCTAAAATGATAACTGAATTGCAGTCATAACTATTCATATTATAGGAATCATTATTAATTGCTCATAAAATCTTATAACTTGGTAAAACTGTAAATAACATCATCACCAATGTTAACATTATTTTTTAAATTAAATAATCAGATCAAAAAGCAAAGTCATTACGTCTTTGTATTCTTCTATAATATTCTCCATAGTCTCATTCTATACATTCAGGTCTTTTTCATTTAAAAAATATTTTTGTTCATGTCATATTCACTCTGACTCTTCCATCATTTTATCCTTCAGGGCCTTTACGGACAAACTTCATGAAAATCTGTCTGTAACTGAGATCTAAAAATCAAGAATATAAATCAAATCTCTTTGTCAATAAATCAGCTTGGGTCTTTGTTTTTTTGTTGACTGTGTCTTAAATTTAGGCACATATTCCTTATTTAGCCATAAGCTCATCACTCCCTAGTACCTCACTCTAGCAGTACCTACATTAATGTTCACTGACTGGTGCCTGCAGACGTTTGAGTTTGAAACCTCTAACACAAAAGAGAACCATATCAATTAACTTAATCACACACTTAAAAATTTCAAAGTAATGGAAAGATCTGGAAATTGAAATATGATTTACTAACATACAAGCAAGCCATAACTGCTAAATATGGTTTCAGACTTGGCCTTCAAAGACAGTGAATTGTGTACACATATACAGGGAATTACTAGCTTGGTTTTGCTCATTTATTTTCATTATGCTATTCCAAATTCTTTGGAGAAGAAAAGAATCCAGTGAGCTGTGTAAAAATTTAGAGAAGAAGCTTCATCACTTTATTCTTCATCTGAGGACATCACCAACAGCAGGCACTATTAATGAATCATCAATGGACTTAAGTGATTGTAACTAGAATGAATAACAACAAAAAACAAAATGGAAGATATCAGAAAACTGCACAAAATAAAAATAAATATTATTTCATGAAACTTTAAAAATTGTGGTAAAATATACTTAATATAAAATTTACCAGTTTTACCATTTTAAGAGCACAATTCAATGATATAAAGTACCCCCATAGTGGGCAGCCATCACCAATATTTTATGAACTATTTGCTTTGGCTCTGTGTGTGTGTGTGAGACTACAATGTAAAATACATTTCTTACTATGGCTCATTTTTTTTTAGTATGGAAACTACATTAATTCAACCTTCTCCTGGGTAAAATAATGGGTAATTTGCTAACTGCATGACTTCAATAGAGCTTGGGCATCAGAGAAATACTCTATATCTAACACCAAAAATATTTTTAAATATAGGGAGATACTTCTGAAGAAAATGACAGATTCACGGTGGAGGGAGAGGGATAGGGGATGAAAAAGAAGTGAGACATGCTATGTACATGTACCAATGCCCCGTAATGAATGTAATCATTAAATACTATAAATATGTACTAATAAATATATTAGAAAAAATGATTCAGATATTTGATATAATGAAAAATTTGAAATGTATATTTGTGTGATATTTATTCATATAATAAACTATAAAAAGGTAACACTCCCAGAACTGTAAGACAAAGTCAGAAAATGTTATCATTTGAAATTGAAGGTAAGAATAAACTTAATATGGTTTAGATTTTGACTGGAGTGTATTACTGTTGAGTGTAAAATGTTTCACAAATTGGATCAAGAAAACTGTTTTCCAGCGCAAGGACCCGAGTTCGATCTCCAGTACCAAAAAAAAAACAACAACAAAAAAACCAGTTTTCCAAGTCTAATCAAAGTAACTAAAATATATCCAGAGGAAAACATGACTGTAATACAAATGATGTATGGAAAATTATAATTTACTCAGTTATATTACATGGTATCTAAGGTTTTAGTGTTGTCAAAACAAAGAAATAAAATTAGCTATCACCATGGAATCCAGACGAGGGGAAATGATACAAATTCTAGGTCTAAAGAATTCACTAGAATGAGTGTTAAAAATAAAAGTAAATCACTAAAAATTTATAGAAACTTAGGAGTGAGGCCAGTAGATAAACTAGCAAAGTTAGGAGGATGGCAGTTTAGTGAAGATTTACTGATCACTAGTCACTGTGAGATAAAAGGATACAAAGTCTAAAATAGATAGGTGTGGTGGTCTATAATCCCAGCACCCTGGGAGGTTGAGGCAGGAGGATGGCATGTTTGAGCTGTTTGGGCAATTTAGTAATTTAGCGAGACTCTGTCTCAAAATTTAAAAAAAGGCCAGGAATGTAGCTCAGTGTGAAGGCCCTGCTCAATCTTCAACATTTGAAAAAATATAAAATAAAATTCCTGCCTTTAGGAGTATATAATGAAGCAGGTGATTAAAAACAACAGCAGGGGGCCAGGGATTTAGCTCAGTGGTTCCCCAGCCTGCCTTGCAAGCACAAGGTCCCAAGTTTGATCCCCGGTACCAAACAACAACAATATATAAACTGAGGCTTGTCTACAACACAGTTGGTGAACAAAGAAAGGCAGCCTGAGCAAGTCTGGGGTGTGTGTGTGAATGCCTATATAGTCATGATAGGAATGGAAGGCAACTGGCCAAGAAGGAAAAAGCAGCCAGCCCAGGAAAGGAGACAGAAGGAATATAGTGTGCTCCAGGAACTCACTACATCTGTAATTGGGGAGAAGAAAATGAGAAGAACCACCAGGTGGTTTGTTGGTGATGTTTACAAATGGAATGCAGGCTGGAGATGTAGCTCAGTGGTAGTCTGCTTGCCTGAATATGCAAGGCCCTGGGATCCATCCCTAGCACTACTAAACCATAAAACAAAAATTAAAAAAAATGGAACTTGCTTTTATTTGGGATTCCTTTCCTAGATCTCATGGGTATCACTAATAACAAATAATAGCAAATAATCTGGGTAGGCATGTCCATTTCTTGAAACAAGGAGAGTGTTCTATTTCTTAGGAGGGGCTTCAGAGGGACAATCACACTCCTCAGATATGGCAGTGTTTCTCACCAAGGTGATGAATGGAAAGGCATCTGGTACCACCCTTTATTCCTGACATTCTAGAGGCACAAAGAAGACCCTAGGTCAGGTTCCAGTTTGATAGAGGAAGGGGTGTGCAAAGAAGGTTGTGAACTGCAACAAGGAAATAGGAGAGAGAGTTAGCTGTCACCACATGTCCTTTAGAACTATGGAAACAAGGACTGAGCCCCAAATATCAAACTTCTTTTCCATTTGAGGAATTATTCTCATTTCTTAAAAAGTTAAGCTTCCACGGATGTTAGATTAAAAAGTGTCTACTTTTCCAGGTCTCCAGGTGCTTAATACTTTCTCAGTGTAATAAAATCACAACATGCTTATGAACTCTGGTTCTCTGCCCAAAATATCCAATCCCAAATTGAGGAGTCTTTCCAAAAATCTCTTGTGTTTCATCAACTCTTTTTCTTTATGAGAACCACAATTTGGTAGGTAATCAAGATGAAAATGCAATCTCTTCTCTGGTCTGGATGATGCTTTTACACTAAGTACCATATAGATAGGTACTATGTAGGTAAAGTATCCCATCATATGTCTTCAAGAAATAACATCAATTAAGCTACAGTGCCATCTATTCTATGCCAGAGTGGTATTACCTTCAAAGAAAGCACAAGTTAAACTTCAGAAGTCTTAACTGAGAAACCTAGGTCTTTTCTGTGGGTTCTGCAAAGGAGATAGCTTTAGCTACTATTAGGCATGCTACAGGAAAAGTTTTCTCAGAAACTCTTAGATGTCTATGACCATATCACTCTGAATGTGCCCAATCTCGTCAGAAACTCTCACATATGATGCCTTTTTTTAAAGATTCCATGTCACACAAGCTCTAAATGTCTTCTGCAGGCCCTCATGCACGAAGTTCTTTCATGCCTTCTTCCTCCCTCCCTGTGCCATCCTCCTGTGCCTGCCTCCACATTCCTCATCCTGGTTTGGTACCTGCACACCCAGCTCTACTGCATCCATCCGTCCCCAGCTCCCTAAGATGTAAGACTAGAGGTTGTGCCAGGGCCGTTTGCCCTCCAGCAAGGAGGTTTCAGTAATACATTTTCACAAATAAAAATCTTTCATCTCTTTTCCATATTTTGATTTATCATGGGGGAATTTTACAACATCCAAAAGCAGGGATAAGAGTTTCAAGAACCCCCATGTTTCAATATTTCTCACCAACCTCTACTTTCTCTTTAGATTATTTTGGAGAAAATCCTAGACATAATACATGATATGGCATTTGACACTACTGTACTTAAGTATGTATCTCTAAAAAATTACTATTTTGAAGAATTTTTAATTTTCAGGAGTTTGTTACTACTTATATATATTGTATATCTGGATTTACCAATTAAATTTTATCTCTACACATACACACAACAATTATGTATGCATATTTCACTAAACTATTTGAGAAAAACTTGTAGATATCTTGATCCTTCACCCCTAAATTATTCAGTTTATATCTCCTAAGGTCAAAGACATTCTCTTGTATAGCCATAACACAATTATCCAAATCAGGAAATTTAACACACTGGTTATGAGACTAATATACAGTTGATTAAAGTGAGACTAATATACAGTTGATTAAAATGCCAAGAGTGTCTCTTGTAGCAAATTTTTACTCAGATCTAGGATCTAACCTAGGATTACATATTACATTTTGTTTTCTTGTCTCCTTAGTTTCCTTTAATTTGAAAAATGTTCTCTATCGTTCTTTTATGATCTTGACACTTTTGAAGAGTATGGGCCAGTCTGTAGAATGTTCAATTTGACTTTGTCCTACAGTCCCTCATTATTTGTTTGCACATTTTTGGCAGGAATATCACATAACTGAGGCATCACATGGTGGGGGATGTGGTCAGTCAGGAGGCCATTATTATCGACGCTTGAGCCACACAGTAAAATGCCCTTTACCCTTTGAAATTAATAAGCAAGTAGTAAGTCTTTAAATGTTGAACATAACTTATTCCTCAATGGATTTTCACCCAGTGATTTTTAGTATTCATTGGTGATTCTTGTCAGCATAAATTCTGATAGTTGCAACACAACACGGAGACATAAAAAATATTCTTTCATTTACAAATCAGCATTCTACTTTAGTTTTCCCTTTTCCTACCTCATCTCTATTACTTTTTTACTTACCCATTTATTTATATTTCTTAGTTTCTGTATAAGCTCATGCATGTTTTCAATTCAAAGCATTCTAATGTATTACTGTCATTTTCATGTTGATATTTGTAACTAATTTGACTAAGCCAGTTCCTTATCCTGTTTCTCTTCTGGTCCTTTCTGTGGCAGGAGATACTCTATAGAAAAGTTTCTAAAGGCCCTGCCTTGCCTCATAATGAAATGTTGACTCACTGAACAGGACAGGTCTCTTACTTCCCACCTGGTATTCCTTCTGTATGGAAGGCTTGTGAGTCCTGCTACCCTTTGTCTTTGGCCTTGGGCTAGTTATCTTCACCATCCGCACTTAAAACAGAATTTTAAGGAGCAGCTAAGAGCACCTCCAATTGTTCTAACAGGAACCACCAAATCCCCAGTGGAACACAGGCCTGGATCCAAAATCTCGGCCGCCAGCGCTGTCCCGATCCAGGCCCTGGAGGAGGGGTGACGGCAGAGGGCACCCGAGGGCAAGGTCCGGGTCAGTCTCGAAAGGCTCAGGGGTCTGAGGTCGGGGCTTGATTTACCCTCCAGGAGGTGCGGGCTCGAAAGGGGTGGCCGTCCCGAGGGACACAGGCGGAGCAGGAGGCCAGGTTGGGGGCGGGTAGGGAAGGGTCGCCCTCTCCGTGGGTGGCTCCTAGCAAGGGCAGGGATGGAAGTCCCAGGGCAGCGGGGCAGGGCAAAGGTCGCCATAATGAGGACGTCGCCAGCCCGTGCAAACCCAGCTGTCCGTGAGAGACGCACGCGGTGGCGGGACGCTCAAGTCACTTAGAAGATCAGCTCCAGAACTCGCTACGCCCAGCCAGCTCGTAGCCACAGAGGGGGAGAGACAGAGCTATGGAGTGGGCGGAGCATACACGACGTGAGGCGGGGCCTACTACTTGCAGGAACCCAGTGTACGGCGTACGCCGGGTAGGGCTGGGAAAGGAGGTGTGCGCGAGGCGAGGCGAGGCGAGGCGAGGCGGGGCG